CACATTTTCACTGGTTTCCAATAGCATTGTTTTTAGAATGGATCTTCTACAATTACCTTCCAAATAATCATTAACCTTGAATAATGTTTAACCGTAACAGCACATTCAGAACAAATATTCAAAAGACTGTAAGCATTAACAGTTTCTAGCTTTAATGGCAGACATGTAATCTAATCATTCCATGTTTAATTTTGTGGTAAACCCAATAAAGAAATGAAATAGCCTTCTTTTCCAGGGCCTCACTCTGTCTCTCTCTTCCAATTATTTAACTATCCTGATAAGCTAATCGATCAGTTCTTGAAATGGTAATTATGTACTAATGGGACAAATGCTTTGATCCTCCATTGTTGTAAAAATAATGGCACCATTATTCCATTTTCTATATAGAGACACACCCCATCCACCATTAAGAAGGTCATCCATCTATCCTTCCTTCCTTCTTTCCACCCATCCATCCCTCCATCCATCCATCCAAAAAATAAGTTCTTTTGTTTTTTCATAAATATCGTGAAAAATACTAGCGTGCGCCTGTATTACTTATCTTATTGGTTTTTTGGACTGCTTTGAATTACGGAGGCCTAATACAGAAATACTGTAGAACTGTCTGATTCTTAACAGAATCTAACGACAGTTAAGGCTGCTCTCTGTTTAAGTAAGTACTAAACCTCCACATTAGATGTGATTGAGCTCCTTTGAAAGGAAGGATGTGCATCCTCGTTAATACTCGGATTGTTTCTTTCATTGAAGGTAAATGGAATGAGAATTGGTGAACTAAAGCTAATCTTTCTGCTGTTTTATTATTAGGCAGAACAGTTGGTATTTGTGCAGCTGCAGGCAAGGCTTTTTATTATTTTCATCACTTGCAGCTCGTTGATGAAACATTGTTGGTTATTCAGCCAAGCTATAAAACCTTTTAGTGCATACTGTAGCAAAACAAAACTTTAATTCTTATTTTATCTGTTTTGCTACAAGTTTACTGAGCTGTAAGATTGGAGGCACTAAATTCAGTCAACAATGTGCACAATTGTTGTTGTCTTGGTGGCGGTTTGTTTTGCTGTTATCATTTTGTCATTGTCACAGTAAGCCAAACAGCGCTTCTGAAAAGGAAAATGGGTTTTATGTATAGAGTAATAACATAAATGGATTCCCCCATGTCTTCCTCCACCACTGTGGAAGCCTGTGGCTATTTATCTGCTTTTGTCTAATTATTCATTAGCAAACACAGTGAAAGGAGCACACAAAATATGATTGCAAAAACCAGAAATGCTTCGCAGGCTGCTGCTCCTACTGTCTCTTCATTTCCACAGTTTTAAACCAAGCATAAGGATTTGCACTCATTGAAATCTTAAAGTGTATATCTCTAGTAGAACTTAGTGAAAAAAAAACTTTACTGCTGGAAATTCAGAAGCAACAGGACAATGGAAAAAAAATGAAAACATGCAAGGAAAATTAACAACAAAAAAACAATAATGTACAGTTATTAACAATAGCCTGTTGTAGTAGATGTCATACAATGCCACAGCATCAATGAAAATTACATTTTTACTTCTACAATGGCAAGCATGTGGTGCTTAGGAGTTATTGTGTGCTAGTGAACCTGCAGAAATAAGAAAGGTTTCCTCTCCTTAACTGCTACAAAAACGCTGCAACAGGGACAGATTTAACCAAGTGCGTTGCACATAGATGACCAGCAGATGGTGATGTAGGACTTTACTCTGCAGAAAACGGTCAGAAGTTCAGGTTGGGATAAGTTCACTGGCTTTTTATAAAACCCCACTGTCTGTGCTTGTTTTTGTTTTGTCTTTGTTTGGTGTTTTTATGTTAGAATTAAAATCCAGTTGATGTGTTCCTCTGTCATCTACAGGCTGCAAAAATATTTCCCTTTCCTTTTCAGCATTTTATGATGATACAGACAAAAACTTGAGGTCATTGTGTGTTGTTGTCTTTTTTAATGAATATTGCCCAACATTAGGTATTGCATTTCTGTGAAGAGGGAAAATTAATATGTGATTTTAAATCTTTGTTACAAGCAGAAATAAAAAAAAAAAAAATTTTAAAAACTTTCTGCCACATGTATTTTTAGGTTAGCCTATATACTAAATTGTCTTCTGAGGTTCGGTCATATTGGATAGAGATTGTCTATGAACAGCAATTTTAAAAGTACTGGTGCCATTAATTCTTGATGGGATTTTTGTGAGGACTTTGAAGGGTGTTGTTTTTATTTTCCTGAATGAGGTCCTCAACTATGATTGTCCCTTGGCCCTGAAAAATATATGTATTTATTATCTTCAAATTAAGCATAGAAGGTGCAGGTAAAATTATATTTCTAAGCATCCATACCTAAACTAATCAATTTCAGAGAAGACTTGCTAAAAGAAAAATTGTCAAATGGAGTTTTAGAAAAACAACTTTGAAATATTCCTTTATTGAAGAACCAAAACCGGTTATCTATTGACAAATATGGGTGTACTGCTATATTCTTACTGTGCTTACACCTTGGTGAACAACAGGGGATGCCCATTCCCCAGAGGGAAGACATGAAAATAAGCTACAGAGCATTAGACTGAGGCACCCTAAGGCCATGCCACTCTGGGCAATGATCCATAACTTTTGTTTTAAAGGTATAGTGGAGGATGTTCTTTTTTCCGAGTGGATCATCAAAATAAGTGGTCCTCCTAATTGTCAATCATTCTGATGATATGTTTACGTAAGCCAATCCGATGTGCTCATCTCTATTTTCACTTACCGGTGGTGAGTCTGACATAGTGGAAAAACTGCAAATCTTCTTTTGGAAAGTAAGCTTGTATGAGTGATGCAAACAGCAACTTTTAAACAGAGCGTGCATGAAGAGAAATGGGCTCATGCACGCTCTCGCACGTGTTTGATAGCCTTTCCCTCTTGGGAGCGGGTACAGGGTTGTGCATGTGCATTTTTTTTTAAGTGGAGAGGGCGGGTATTTTCAAACATTTGTGAATATTCTCCTCTATACCATTAAATAATGTGACACTTTACTTTCCTTGTCCTATTGGAAGGTGACCCTCCTCCACAGTCTCAGATCAACTGTGGCCTTCATTTCTCCTAAGATTGCTTTGTAGATCCCTCCATGTTTCTATCAGCTTCACTGTTCAGGGTCCCATCACAAGATTTTTAGATATGGATTAAAAAGTTCAGCTTTGGTTTCATTTTGCAAGAGAATTTCCATTCACATTTGTTGTTTTATGTTTTTTATGTTTTGTGATCTTTTCCATAAAGCCCAGATTTTTATAGTTGATAACTAATAACTGTCAAGTCTAAAGGTTTACAGACCAAATCTAAGGATCTCTGCAGCTCCTATTACCCTTCTAATGATAAGGCTTGTCAGATTAGGTGAACAACCATGTTAGCCATCACAGATTTGATCAGCTGCATTCTTACTTTATTTTTAATAACACACAGATGGATTCTGTCTACTTATTAGATGAATTCTTAAGACAAATGGTCAGTTGGTACCAGAGAGAAAGGGACTAACTAGAAATGCCCATTTCACTCCTTCACATTTTTTATTTGTAACAAACTTTAAAACCATCAGCTGCCTTTCACACATAATTGTGTTTAATATGATCAAATGTCTTACCTATTTGGATTTACAGACGCATCTCCTTCAAGTTGTTAAACTGGGGACGGCATTCCTTTGATAAGACCCCCATCTAGTGGTAATGTCTGTCAGACGCATGGACTATCAATGGGTTGGTGAACTAAGTTTCCGCTATCTGGAATATTGTTGCATTTTAAATCATGTTGATTTTCCAGTTTAAAAAAAAATCCATATTATTTCTGTAAAATGCTTCCTGCCTTTATTGCTGATTTAAAATACAGCAGAAGGCCCAGAGGAATCACTCTCTGGCAACATATTAATTAAACACAAAACATTTTGACTCAAGAATGTTATTTTTGACATACAAATACATCTCTTGTGGTGATCAACATAAAAAAGCAAAGGAAATTTTTCAGTTTTTTTTTTTTTTTTTTTTTTTTTTTTTTTGAGAAAAAAAAAAGTTGGTAATCTTAGGGATGCATACCTCTCGTACAGCAGTGGCCAGTAGGGGGCGGTCTTGCACTTTGGAAACGCAGCCCGCTGTCATGGTCAGGCTGAGAAAGTAGGGATCAAGCGATTTATATTTATTATATTAATATTAGGTGTAGCGAAGTGAAATAAAGCCAAATGCGAATTACCTTCAAATTAAAATAGTTAACTTTGTATTAAAATAATTTCTAAACAGGTTATATTTTCAGTGATACAGATTTTTTGAGTCTTATGGGGTGGTTAGAAGATTTGATAAACCACAATCAGAAAATAGCTAATTACAGCTCTCTAGAATTTATTAAATTTTTGTTATTATTTTTCATTTATTAGAAGCCTATAATAAGCATTAACTTAAGTTATTTCAGTGATGGCTTTTGTTATTTATCTTTATTGTATTTTCGGTGTATGTTTTAACTGTATGTCCAATGATTTCATTTTTTTAATCCGTTTTCAATGAGTCGGATCAATTAAGTTGAGAGAATAATTACAGAAACTCAATATTTGAATCAGAGAAAGTTGTTGTTTGCATACTGCAAATTTAAAATAAAAGTAATAGCATTATTATAAGTCAATTATTATTCTTATCACCACTTCTCATACTAACACAACATTTATGCGTAAAATCAGGTCCCAAGACCACATAGTATTCACAACAAAAGATATGCATATGTAATATTTATTCAGTTCTGTTTAAAAATGAAATAAGCAGACTTTAATTTGTGTTTTTTTCTTTTCTTTTTCTTTTTTTTTTTTTGCTAGTTTTGTCATCTCATGTTTTACTTGATAAACCACGGGATGAAAGTTTGAGGTGGGCATCTGATTTTTGGAGGGGGTCTTTTGAAAATATAGTCCAATTTGGACAGCATTGTAAAAAAAAAAAAAAAAAAAAAAGGAAAAGAATAGAAGAGAAGAAACAGTAATAGTCAACTTACACACATTTTTAAAATAACATTTATTTTCAGTATGTTTATTTGACAGAACATATTTTAACATTTGAAGTGGGTCTGATTAACGCATAGATAAGAAATCAAAACTAAATTCCATGTCAAATGCATTTGGTTATATAATACAAGCAAACGGAGAGATTTTTAAAATTATACACAAAAAAAAAACAAGGGAAAAGGGCCTGCACCTGCACACAATACTGGTTCATTATCCAATTTGTTGTGGCAGTTGACTGTAAAAGAAAATTCAAAGCCAATGATAAATATTGATCTCATTATATTTTCACATAAAACCTGCCTTTAAAAGTCTGAGTTTCTCCAAGCTCAATGGAACTTGGAGATTGTTAGTAATAATTTCATGAAAGTGACAAATGGGGGAAAGTGTCCAAATTTCTGCAATCTAACATATAAAATAGGTTTTAAACTTACACATAATTAGGTTTAGTTTTCCCCCCAGAACAATTATGCCTGATACACACAGAGAGCAGCCAGAACACATCACAATTTTTTTACAATACAATGAAGTGTTTTGTTGTTGTTTTTTCAGTCTAGTCTCACTGTTTGTCCGGCGTGTTGTTCACTAAAGGCCCGTAAAGGCCGCCGGCATAGCCTTGCTCCTTGTGCATTATTGTCCTCTCCCTTATCAGGTCGCTAAAAGCATAGTCCATAGGGGGTCTGAAGCCCAATGTGGGCATGAGCCCGGTGGTGGAGTAGGGCGTCATGAAAGCCAGTCCCCGGCTGTGCGCAGAGTAGGCCAACCGCAGCGGGTTCAGTCCCAGGTGAGTACCCAGTGGGTAGGTACCAGGATCTGCGCCGAAGTGCGGGGCGTTGGGTTGGAGCGGAGAAAACGCAGAGCGGTTACTCAGCGTCATGGCTCCGGGCAGCATCGGCCTCGTCGCTGTGGCTGCGGCCGCAGATGTAGCAGCGGGAGGCTGCTGCGCGCTCTGAAGCATCCTCTCCGCCGTCCACGTCTCCTCCGGTCCGGCCTTGCTGGGGGCATGTGCGCCGCTGTTGTTGAGGATCTGCTCGATGGCCTGAACCACATCTTTGCCGCAGCCCTGCAGGACCAGCTCTAAGACGCTGCGCTTGTGGCTGGGGAACACCCGCGTCAGGATGTCGATGGCGTTCATCTGGCGGGATGCCGCGGAGGACGGGGAGGGATCCTGCTCGTCTTTGTCCGTCTCTGAACCGGAGTCCGAGCCGAGGGAGCTGACGGAGCCAGGAGTTTCCTCTCCGTCCTTTAATGGCTTGGCCACTGGTGAGTTGATGAAAGACTCACTGTCTCCGTTCTCTGAGCCTGAGCCCGCTCCGTGGCGGCCGTCTGGAGAAGACATGCCCGGTGCAGAGTCGCTCTCTGTGGACGCAGGTTTCCCAACAGACTTCTGAGGGGTGGTTGACCTGGACAGCGGGGTCTTTGGAAACAGCTCATACTTCTGGATACTAGACTCTGCAGACACAAGCAATGGATTTCAGATTAATAAAGGGTAAGAATAAATCAAATGATTTCCCCTTTGGAAAAGTTGGAGACAAACTGCTCTGATGCAGGAAGGTGGATTCAAATAGCAACACCTGCTGAGAGTGATCAGTGAAAAGATGAAGAATTATTCTGCTGACTTGGAACCATCAGGACACATGTTCCTTTTCTAACTTTACCTTTTTGGTCGTTTCGTTCCCAATGAAATGTTTGATTATGCCTCCATTCCGCCTCGCGCGTTTTGTGCAATATTTCATAATTTAAATTTATTTAATTTCAACTAAAATTCATTTCAGTTCATTTTGAAATTACTTCAATGTTCCCCAAAGGAATATTAAATTAACCATCTTGGGAAAACAAAAAAGAGAATTAGGTAGCAGGCCCCAGCAAACTTTTCTACACAAATGTTTTGTTGTTAAAATTGTTTGTTTACAGCTAAGAAACGTACTGAGGATTCGATCATTTCAGAGCTGAATTAGAAACAGGAAATCTTGTTATTTTAAACGAATAGGTCCCATTTTAATGTGGTTTAATGTTTACAGAAATATACCTTTAACTTATCAAGGCATGTTTCCAGAATATTCAATGAATCCACCTGCTCACACTCAACACATTTCTCTTGACTCACCGGAGTTGCTTTCGCTGTTGACAGAGCCGAACACCTCATAATTGGGCCGCGGAGGGATGATGCCGTTAGCGGCGGCCAGGGCCAGGCCCTCCGCGGTGCCGTAGAGCAGCTGCAGCTCTCTGGCTTCGTTCTCCTCCTGCGCCTGCTGCCGCCGCAGCGCCACCTGCGCAGCCATCACCCGCTGCCTCTCCGCAATCAGCGTACACTTGGCGCACATGCAGTCCTTCCAGCGGCAGTAGCGCTTGTGGCCTTTGAGCGCAGAGACCACGCCGTGGTTCCTGCAGCGGGCGCACTTTGGGGTGCGCGGATACTTGTCCGCGGCGCGCAGTAGAAGAGGAGGACCGCGCAGCAGGTTGCTGGCCATGGACACCGGGATGGAGGCTGCAGCTGCGGCCGCCTGGTGAACCTGTGAAGCGGAGGATGCTGTCGGGAGCTCCGGTCTCAGGTCCATGCTGTGTATTCGTCAGTGATCCAAAAAAGGAACCAACTCGGTAAGCGACGTTGGATGAATGATATGTTTTAGTTCAACTCACCCTAAACTGATTACATCACCTGCAACATCTCTGCGCAACAAGTAAAACCAACGATTTCTACTAGCACACTTGAAAAGTAACTCTGGAAGAAGCTATCCAGAAATGATCGGGCGAGTTTAAATCCAAAAACAGAGAGAAGAGATCAGTCCTCTTTGATTATAAGTTCAAAAGTGTCCAGCAGCCGCTGCCTGAGACACTATCTTCCTCCTGAGATCGTCAGTGGATACAGATCCCTCTCTCCTCTCTCTATTGTTGCTCCTACGTTTTCATTAGACAAATTTGACAACAATGTGGCGTCTGTCATTGGCCAAAGGGAGAAGGAGCGATCTGATTGGTTTGTGTCTTTCTTTCTTTTTTTTTCAACTGTGTCCACCTGAGTTGTTTTTTTTTTCCAAATAAGAAGTGTTAAGAATCTGATGGGAGTTCCCAGGAAGCTCAAATCGATGCTTCCAAATTTTTATTCAATATATTTTAAACAGCAGGTGTGTTATTAGGCTACTTCAGTTGAATCAGCATTATGGCATCAAATGGCCCCCTAAAAAGATATTTTATCTAATCTAATAATTGAGATTTCACAAATAACTAAAAGTATATTTCATATATATGCTACTGTTTTTGTTGTTTTTTTTTTTTATATATAAATTATGGAGTAGCCAATAAAAAAAAATGTTTTCAAGCGCGCCTGCAGTAAGGTAAGTATAAGTTACTTTGTTGTTATGAGAAGAGGTCAGATTTACTATCTGAGTGACAAACTACTTATTTGCTCCCAATTATTTACGGCATGAGACAATGTTGCATGATTGTTTACCCGGAGCGCTTTAACCAAATTAAATTAAAGAGAAAGAAGTGATAAAATATTAAATTTCGTTTTCATATTTTTCTTTTTACGACTTTATTTAACCTGAATAAATCTATCTTTTTTATGTGCAATATAAATAAATGAGGACAACTCTGCTATTTCTATTATTTAATAAAAACCCATGCTGGACAAGCGTTTTGTGTCTTATTTTCCTTTGTTTCCTCATTTTATTCTGCAAGAATTAGGCTATATTTTGAATATTTATAAACGGTAAATAAAATATATTTAAAAAAATTAAATCAAGAAAAGGCTAATTAGATTTAATTATTTAGCGCTTAGAACAAATAATGCCGTCTGCAGCAAATGAAACACATTCGTTCAGTCGGATGAAATCTAAAAATGACTGACTGTTAAGCGAGATGATTTTAAATTTATTTGAAGTTGCACCGAATTGTGTTTTTTATATTTATATATTTTAAGGCAGTATTTAGTTTATGTTTATTTCATTTATTTTTCCTGTATATTATTTTAATTATTATTATGTTTGGGGAAAAGAACATTTTATTATGGGCTCCATAGTGATAAAGCGGTGATGGAAGCAGTGCGCACTGATCTGAGCTGCCAAAGAGCAACACCTGCTCCTTTACCTGCTCGATCAGGAACCACACTATCTCCTGCTGCTGTTGGGCGTCTCTAAATTAAAAATAAACGTCTAGGTGTTTTCTCTAATCAACAATTGTCAATGCCTCTGAGGATGACAACAGCCTTGGTGATCAACGCCTTGAAGCCGAGATAAATGGCTGCTGCTGCAGCAATGAGCGCGCTCTGCAGCAGCCCTGCCTCTCTCCCCCCCCAGGCTCATTGTTTACTTTCTGAATCACTGTAAGCAAATGCCATCTGTTTCCCTCGCCGCTGTCATCTGCACCTTAATTACCTTGCCAACGGGCTAATAGAGACGATATTAAAACTACATCTTTTTGACATTCAAAGTAATTATCTGCATGGGCGTTGATCTCGTTTGCATGGAAATTGCAGAGAAGGCCCGGCTTTTATTGGAAACCTAATAGATGCTCAACTCAGGAATAGAAACAAAAAAAAAAGAAGAAGAAGAAAAAAACCGGATTGGTCTAAGTGTTAGATTGAGACAAAAGAAAAAGAGTGTCTTCGTCTCAGGGCGCATTTCATCGCTGATAAACAATATATGAAAGAGGAAGAAAACAAGCGTGCCACTAAATCTGAAGGGGTTCACACTTTGATTATGGATAAGTCTCATTTCAGGATGAAACTTTCACGTTTTTTTTTTCAGGTAGTGGTTTAGATGTTTTTCTGTAAAATGATACATTAATGCAAATTTTAAAAATCTAAATAAGGCATTTTTTCTTAAAATAGGTGGAGTTTGTCTCGATTCTAGGAGGTAAGTGAGACACTTTGCCAATGGAACAAGACAATTTACATTTAAAATATGAAAAAAGCAATTACATTTTCCTATTTCAAGTGCATACAATCTAATTATCTTATTTTGAGAGTAAAAATGCTCATTTCATTGGCAAATCATCTTATTTTCCTACTCAAATTAAGGGTAAATACGCCTAATTTAAGATATTTTTTTTAGACTTAGACAAACTTTATTGTCATTTTGTATGCACAGAGGGTATACAGAACGAAATTTCGATCCATACAGCTTTGCAACAGTGAATGAGCAGATTCACTGTTTGCAAAAAAATTGTATTTTTCTCTCAGGCCAGTCAACACAGTTAAAAATAGTATATATATATATATATATATATATATATATATATATATATATATATATATATATATATATATATATATATATATATATATATATATATATATCGTAAATTAGAATCTAATTAAATTATATTGATTTATCACCATCCTGTCCACACAGATCGAACCAATCGCCTAAACACAACAAACAAAACGAAAATGTTGCATCTAACCAAACAAGGGTTGCACAGTTATGGTTGCTTTAATCGTTTCTATTGTTTTATTCATTTATTTATTTTTTATCCAACACAAATCTGAAAGTTTTAACTAACTATAATAAGAGCAAAAATGTTAGTAGGTCCATATCTGTGTGGAATAACGAGATTTCTAAATCTTCTACTGTGGTCTATTTATACCGTTTTCAGTGGATTGAGTTCCAGAAGCCATGGATGATGAAAATTTATACAATACAGAAGAAAAAAATATCTTTACTTAAGTCTCCAATGTTGCAAATCTGATAGCAATTTAAACAAGCTGCTGACATATTCAGATTTTCTCTCTGTGCTTACATGGTGTTAGACATTGGTTAGACATAAGTAATAGAACAATTGACTGGAGGACCCCAAAGACCATGCCGCCCTGAGCAGGGAGCCACCGCATGGTTTAGATGCTCAAAATATTCTATTTGTGCAAATGTGTGTGCTAGTTAAAACTTTTTAGGCAATAATGACTAATTTATTGCTTTGCTATTTTGATTTAGATGTTTTAGAAAGAATCATGTTTTTGTGCTGAAGCATTAAAAAGAGCTTAAACCACATAAACAAGTGGAACATCATGCCCCCCAGATAATTTAATAGTTAATTCAGCTTTAATGTGGACCAATGGAAATGTAATGTATGTGAAATATGCTTTATGCGATAAAGATTAGTCGTGGTCCAATTAAAAATAGTGAACCCCCCTCCCCAATGCAATTAAAAGTGACTGTGAGCACTTTGAAAATCCAACATTCTTTTACCCACTTCATTAAGCCCATATGCATCTAAAAAACCACGCGATGCTTTCATTTCTTTCAGGAGGGCTGCACAGATGAGTGGAGTTTTAACACCCTTCAGGATCACAACAAAGGCCATGCTTGACCCAACATATGTAGCAGCATGTTTCCGCTACCCCTGCACCCCGGTGGGGCCTTTTTCCTTCTCCTTTAGCGGCCTCTCCCACCGCCGCTGCCCCGCCCGCAGCCCGGCGGGGCCCGGATCCCCTCCCAATCGCCCCGCCGCTGCAGCGCTCTCTGTCCCGCGGAGGCAGAGGTTAGAGTAGCAGTTAGACAAGGGCCTGTGGAGACAGGGAGGAGGGGGTTAGCTGAAGTATTTACACGCTTGACGGGCACACCGAGTGTAGAAACAAGAGGCTGTTAACCTGCCACTTCCCACCAGCTCCAGGGCCAGAGAAATGGATCAGGATAAATGGATTCCTCTAAATAAGGCAGGCAGAGCTTCACAGCTGTGGCTGCTAAATACAACCTCACAAAACATAAAAGAACAGACGTTCCTGTTATCTTTATAAAGTAATAAGCATAGCCCTATACTATCCATCCATAATGGAGCAAAAATGTTCCTCTTAATGAATCAAACTATTTATTTCCATTTCATCCAAAGTTTTATAGCCTGAAGAAGCTTTCTGCGGTGATTTGCAAAAAATTATTAATGAATGTGTTAATTTGTTCATCGTTTCTAAAGCTTGAGAAGTATGGTTGAGTAATTTGTAGCCTGGCGTTAATTAAAGGCAATCATTTGCCAACAGGGGTGCAACTAAAAAATGAAAGGGAGGGGGGCACCTCAGCCCCAGATATTAGCAGACGATGCATGCACATTTAGCATGCACCTGAAAGTTTTTTATCATAATATTCCATGCCCAAAAAACGCATAAGTGATTATACAAATATATATTACATATAAATTATAAATATTATAGGCCTGCTTCTAAATAATGCAGACTTCTGGTGAAGATTCGCAGTCATCCAGGTCATAGTTATTCTAAAAAAATAAAAATAAAACCCATCTGGACTTTGTTTTCCAAGTTTGAAGATGTTTCGCTTTCCATCCAGAAAGCTTTCTCAATTCAAAATGACTGGAGTAGCATGGAGCTCCAGGTTCCACTAAAGAGGCATGGGCCAGTTTCGGGTTATTTGCAGGCCAGCGACAACCTTAACGACTCCCCATTACAAAGGGGCTAGTCTATAAAAGCCTGGAGCTCCACGCTACTCCAGACTTTTTGAATTGTGAAATTTTTCTGGACGGGAAGCGTAACATCTTCAAACTTGGAAAACAAAGTCCAGTGGTTTGTTTTTAAATTTTTTTTAAAAATGCAGATATCCATTTTACATATGAAAGATGAATTTCCATAGATAGAGGTTATTGTTACATTGAAATGGTATTTCTGCTTCTTTTCCTGATATTGTTTTCTGAATTTTCTGCATTCACAATAGATTATACTGTAGAATGGGCAACTCAGGCTGTCTTGTACTTGTATTTCTATGCCAGAGTACTTTCAGTACGCAGGGATATTTCAAAATAATAATTCTATGAAAACAAAATAACATAAACTCTCAAAGTTTTAAGTCTCAAGAACAATAGAATAAACAATTTCAACTAATTGAACTAAGATTAAATCAAAATATCTGGGTGTTAGAAACAAAGTATAACCCATGTTCTAATCCAATAAATTCATG